GAAGAAGACGACCACTGGAGAAAACGACCACTAGAGAAGACGACCACGATGACGACCACTGGAGAAGACGGCCACGAAGACGACGACTGGAGAAGACGACCACTGGAGAAGACGGCCACTGGAGAAGACAACCACTGGAGAAGACAACCACTGGAGAAGACGACCGCGAGGACCACGCAGCAAAGGCGACGACAACAACAACAGTCGTTTCTTCATTCCCGACCTTGCAAACGGGATCAAATAAAAAAAAGAAAAAAAATCGACACGAATATAAGAATAAATATTATTTTAAAGATGCTACTCACTCCTTTCTGAAATGAGATAAATAGAAAAAAAGGAAAAGAAAAGAAATTAGAAAAAATAAAAAGAATTTCACTCTTCAATGACCTTTAAAATAAGAAACAAAAACAAAGAGAGAAAAAAAAACAGAGGATAATCTTGCGCATTCCGGAAAGTTGTTACGTCACGTCCAAACCCGTTACCTAGAAGACGAGGAAGAGGAAGAAGTAAAATAAGACGGGAAAGGAAAAGAAGGAGAGAGGAAGGAGGAGGAGGAGGAGGAGGAGGAAAAGTGGGGAGAGGAGGAGGAGAAGGAGGAGGAGAAGGAGGAGGAGGAGGAGGAGGAGGAGGAGGAGGAGGAGGAGGAGGAGGAGGAGGAGGAGAAAAAGTGGGGAGAGGAGGAGGAGAAGGAGGAGGAGGAGGAGGAGGAGGAGGAGGAGGAGGAAAGTGAGGAGGAGGAGGAGGAGGAGAGGAGGAGGAAAGTGGGAGGAGGAGGAGGAGAAAGGAAGAGGAGGAGGAGAAGGAAGAGGAGGAGGAGGAGGAGGAGGAGGAGGAGGAGGAGGAGGAGGAGGAGGAGGAGGAGGAGGAGAGGAGAGAGAGAAGAAGAAGAAGAAGAAGAAGAAGGAGAAGAAGAAGAAGAAGAAGAAGGAGAAGAAGAAGAAGGAGAAGAAGAAGAAGAAGAAGAAGAAGGAGAAAAAGAAGAAAAAGAAGAGGAAGACTAAAAAGAAAAAGAAAAAATAACAATAACAGCCAGATACCCTCGCACGGCCGAGCTGCAGTCTTGCCAGAAACCGCGCGTCGCCAAAGTGGCTCCCTGCCGCCGACGCCGCTTCTCTGGTGACGCCGAGCACTCCCCCCTCCCCCCCCGGCCGCCGCCCCGCCCACCCACTATTGTATTTACGGCACAGGCGAGGGGCGGCGCGAGGGAGACAAAGCATCTTACATATCCTGTCGATCCTGCGACGCGAGAGGGAGTCCTGTGGCTCCTTCGCGGACGCCATTGAGGAATTCGTCACTCATTTTTTTTTTCTGATTTTTTTTTTTTTGTTTTTGGCGGGAAAATTTTCGTTGTGGGATACAGGCTTAAAGTCTGTTGGTGTTTTAGTTGTTTTTCAAAGAATGTTTGAATGGATCTTGGGATATTGGGTTGTGTATGTCTTTTTCAAAATTTGTAATCGGTTGGTAATATCGTGTACTCATTTATTTGTTTTATTCTTATACTTCAACTCCGATACTCTCTCTCTGCCTCTCTCTCTTTCTGCATCTCTCTCTCTCTCTCTCTCTCTCTCTCTCTCTCTCTCTCTCTCTCTCTCTCTCTCTCTCTCTCTCTTCTCTCTCTCTCTCTCTCTCTCTCTCTTTTCACACATCCCTCCATTTCTTCCCTACCCTCGCTCTCCTTTTCAGTTATTTTCACTCATGTCTCTCTTTCTACCTCTCCTTCTCCTTCTCTTCATCTCCCTTCTTCCTCCCTTCCTCCCCCTCCCCCTCCCCCCATGACCCCGCCCACATTTCTCCCACGGCGTCACAACTGCGCCCGCGTAAAGTACCAATTTAACCGTCTAACCGCAGTAATAAACAAGACTCCACCCCCCCCTTACCCATAGATTCCTTAACCCCCACCCCCCACCCCCACCCTTGACATCCATCCCCCCTCCCCCCTGTCTTGCCTTAAGCTCTTTCTGCAAAAACAAACCTCGTCTCTCCTTTCCTCGCCCCCCCCCTCTCTCTCTCCCTTATCTATTTCTCTTCTCTCCCCTTCCCCTTACCACCTCCCTTTCCATACCCCCTCCCCCTTTCTGGAAGACTCCATCCTCCCTAGCCTATCACCCCCTCCCCCTTTCCCCTCCCCTTCCTTTCTGAGACCCTCCCTGTCGTCCCCCTCCCCTCCCCTTCCCCTCCCCATTCCCTTCCCCATCCCTTAAGACCCCCCCTCACTACTACTACCCCCTCCCCCTCCCTTTCCTATAACCCCTCCCCTTCCTCTTCCCTTAAGACCCCCCACCCCTACCCACCCCCTATCTACCCCTTACCCCCAACCCCCTTCCCCTTCGGTTAAGACCACCCCCACCCTACCGCCTACTCCCCTACCCCTCTCCCCCCTTCCGTTGCCAACAGCCTTGACGCCTCGGGGGGTAGGGTGGGGTAGAGTGGAGGGGGGGGGGGTACGCAAATGACGCTGGTGTAACGCCTTTTTGGAATCAGGTGAGGCGGATTTTCTTCC